TTGTTGAGATTGCCACAAATCTGTTAACTGGCAGAACAAAAAACAAGAAAACAAATAAATACAGATAGTCCTCAGCCTATGGCCACAACTGGGACCAGAATTTCTATTGTTCAGTGAGTCACATCCAATTTTACAATCTTTTTGCTATAGTTTTTAAGTGAATCCAGTTTCTTCCATTGATTTTCTTTCTCAGAAGCCATCTGGGAAGGTCACAAAATGGCAATCACATGACCAAGCTCACTCCAACTGTTGTAAATACGAATAGTCCTCGACTTATGACCACAATTGAGCCCAAATTTTCTGTTGTTAAGTGAGATATTTGGTAAGTGAGTTTTGCCCCATTTTACGATGGGGCATTTTTCTAGCCACAGTTGTTAAGTGAATCACTGCAGTTGATAAGTTAGTAACCTGATTGTGAAGTGCATCTGGCTTCCTTATTGACTTTGTTTGTCAGAAGGTCACAAAAGGGATGTAGGAAGTTAGCACTCACCCCTCTCCCTAGAAGAATGAGATATTCTAGGAAATATTAAAAAGGTAGAATATTATACCTCCCTGGATGAGAAATGGAGAAACATTTTTTTTTCAGGCAGGAAGCAGACTCACTCTTAATAGCCCCCACCCTCCTCAATAGCCCACAGCAGATGTCAGCACTTAAGAGATAAAGAGATAGCTAGGTCTATTCATAAACAAATACCCTCACCCAAGATCCAACAAAGGTAGGATTAGCCCTCTACCCATCTAGCCACAGAACTCACCATATGGCACCTGGGGAAATGACATCACCCAGCAGGATTCAACCAAGTTTGGGACTCAAAAGACAACCTACAAAGTTACCTCTGCATGTGTTCTGTCCCTGTCTCACAAACACACACAAACAGACAGCCGGGGGTTAAATAAACTGGCAGACAACCAATTCTTCCGATAAGACCCTTGGCAGCAACCCAGTAGTTGTTTGCCAAGGAACTTTTACTCAATAAACAAAATACCCACAGTCAAGAATTGTCCAGTTCGTAAAATAAATCCAAGGCCGATAATGTTGTTTCCAAAGATGCAATGTGACTCGATAGTAGTTAGTTTTGTCCGTCACAGAGTCTGAATGGCCACCTCACCCCCTTTTATACCCTGTGGGGTGTGGTCCAGTGACTCAGCCTAATCTCTAGCACGCCTTTTCTTCTGTTGCACGCGCTTATCTCTGCGACGCTGCCCAGGATCTACCCAAGACTCATTACCCTCATCACTGTCCACCTGTGGCTGCGTGGATGTGCTTGGCCCCGGCCCTATCTCTTGCCCTTCGGCGGACACCAAAGGCATTGTCAGAGAGGAGGGTCCTGGAGAGGGAGGCCTTGCCAACTCCTCTCCTTCACTCTCGGAGTCCTCTCCTGCCGATGACACAGGCTCAGGTAATGGAGCCACAACAGCATGCCCCCATGGGAATCTAACAACCAATCAGAATACAAGCTCAAATTCAAAGCCCAACAATGGGTATAAATCTCTCTCTCTCTCTCTCTCTCTCTCTCTCTCTCTCTCTCTCTCACCCATGTGGTTTTTTTTTGCCCAGGACCTCAAATCCATGTGGTCCTGTCCACCATTAAGCCATCTTTTCAACAGTCTCCATGTTTCCAGTGTCTTTTTCCCCACTTGGAACTGAACCCAGATGGACATTTCTTCCAACGGGGGATCACACTGTCCCCAGGACACGGAACTCTGGTAAATATGAACCAGTTGCCAAGCATCTGAATTTTGATCTCGTGACCACGGGGATCCTTTCATTGTCATAAGGGTGAAAAATGGTCATAAGTCACTTTTTTTTAGTGGTGTTGTAACTTTGAATGGTCACTAAATGAAGTGTTGTAAGTTGTAAGTTGAGGACTACGTGCATGTGCCAATTGCCAGGGTCCAAATTTTGATCATGCGATGCTCGTAAGTGCGAGGATGCATCATAAGTCACTTTTTTCAGTGCCATTGTAGCTTCAGATGGTCACTAACTGAATGTTTGTAAATTGAGGACTAATTGTGTGGGCACCACAGCATCTATGCCATTGCCTATCATGGTCTTTCCGGTATGTTTTGCAGAAGTAATTTTAATAAAATGCACTTTTCTTACCTCTTTGACTCCTTTTGGCTTGAGATGTTATCACATCTGAAGAAAGAACAATTATCCTCTTGTCTTTCATGGGAATATCTGCAAAATCCAACCTGCCAGGAAGTGAGAACATGCACGCTCCAACCTGCCCCACTGCATCATCCAATTCTGGGATTTATCAAGTGTCACTTGGAGAGGTAAATGAGTTGGTTATGTACAAAATCGAGTGTGTGTAGGATTACTAATCAACCCATTACGGTTCCAGATGTTGGGAATGGGGATAAAAGATAATGGATAATTCAGGTGTGGAGGAAGCAGGTGGCCTGGATAAGAAAGGTGTATGTGAACATGTCCTTCAACCTATATTCCTCTGTTTGTCTGAATGGTGGAGGAAGTTTGAAAAACAGTGTCCTGAAGCTAAATTCTTCTTTAATGTTTAGCCAACATTTGTTTTGATTATCCAGTTGATAGAAATAACCTGATATATGTGTTTTTAGGAAATGTGAGATTGTTCCCACTTGGGGACACTCTGCCCACGCCACCATTTGATTTGCACATATAGTAGTGGCTACAGGTTGTGTGAGTTTACACTGTAATCAACCTTCTGTTTACCAGCTTGAATGTCCTCCACATCTCTTCCATGGCAAAAGGCAAGATGCCTGTAGATTTCCAGATGAGGCCAGTTCTCTCTCTACTAAGGAAGCCAGAAAATGATCCCAGCAAGGGAGAGACCTCCACCAAGGAGATTATTAGTATCCTGGTGTACCAGGATCCTTACTTTGACTCAGCAGTCTTTTGAGACAGGATATGAGTAGGAATAACAGAATACATAAGAATAGAATTGGAAGGGACCTTGGAGGTCTTCTAGTCCAACCCCTGCTCAGGCAGGAAATCCTGACTTATACCATTCCAGAAAAAATGGTTGTCCAATCTGTTCCTAAAAACCTCAGGTGTTGGAGCACCTGCAACTTTTGGAGGCTAATTGTTCTACTGATTAATTGTTCTAATTGTCAGGAAATTTCTCCTTAGTTCTAGGTTGCTTCTCTCCTTGATTAAAAATGGGCATAAGATTTTGGGGTGACACTCACAAAGATGTAGCTTTTCTCTTTGCATGTCTGTTGTCTATATGCATGTGGAATAAGTTCATCACAGCTCTTCTTTGTACAAAAAAAGTACTATTTACTAAGTCTGCACTACTATTAATCTTCTCATCGTTCCCACCACCCATCTCCTTCCACTTATGACTGTAACTTTGTTGCTTGTATCCTTATGATTTATATCAGGGGTCCCCAAATTTGGCAGCTATGCTGGCTGGAGAATTCTGGGAGTTGAAGTCCACAAGTCTTAAAGCTGCCAAGTTTGAAGACCTCTGATTTTTATTGATATTGTTTCCTGATTGCTTATTTGTACCCTACGACTATCATTAAGTGTTGTACCTTATGATTCTTGATGAACGTATCTTTTCTTTTATGTACGCTGAGAGCATATGCACCAAGACAAATTCCTTGTGTGTCCAGTCACACTTAGCCAATAAAAAATTCTATTCTATTCTATTCTATTCTATTCTATTCTATTCTATTCTATTCTATTCTATTCTATTCTATTCTATTCTATTCTATTCTACAGGTAGTCCTTGACTTACAGTTGAGCCCAAAATTTCTATTGCTAAGTGAGACATTTGTTTTGCTCCATTTTACAACCTTTCTTGCCACAGTTGTTAAGTGAATCACTGAAGTTGTTGGGTTAGTAACACAGTTGTTAAATGAATCTGCATTTCCCATTGACTTTGCTTCTCAATGGGATCACATTGCAAAAGATGATCCCGGGACACTGCAACTGTCATAAATATGAGTCAGTTGCCAAGCGGCTGAATTTTGATCATGTGACCATGGAAATGCTGCAAGGATCATGTGTGAAAACAGTTAAAAGTCACTTTTTTCAGTGCTGTGGTAATTTCGAACAGTCACTAAATGAACTGTTGTAAGTCAAGTTATAAGTCTGTTGTACTAATAAAGCACTTGGTTGCTTTTTGATGATTTTCTGAAGTGCTTCCTTGCTTTGTATAATGGTAGGACCTGCTTAGGTAACCAATCTTAATTTTATTCAATTTTTTTTCTCCCCAGTCTCATACCATGCAAATGAGTGAGTTCCAACATCAATCAGTTCCCTGATCATCCAATAGTCTGAGATGGAAGATGGAGAGGAATGCTGGCTGATTTGAGCTTTAAATTTATGAAGGGAGGCCTGTCTTCTTCTTTTTAGCATTCTTTTTAAAGTTTTGCTTGCAGTGTCCTATTCATCACTCTGCATGCTACATAATTTGACTGCAATTTAAATGCAAAGCCTTGCACAGAAATGCCTTATGCTTCAAAACAGCATTAAATATTAATATAAAATAAAATGTTTATTACAAAATAATAAAATTAAAAATCCCATTCATAAAATTAATAAATATTAATGCGTTTGTGGTTGTCTTGAGTCTTGCAACAGTTTCCCAAAAAGTAGTAGTGCATAAATGCACTAACGTTGCCTATCGTCCCTGTCATTGCATTTTTATTCTTTTATTCTTGTTCTCGTTCTTGTTTGACAAATTCTAACAAATAAATAAAATAAACAAACTGATACGCACTTTTTCACCTTTCTCCAGAACACCAAAAATCATTTCAAAAAAAATCCTAGCCTACCAGTAAAACTACTACTCCCAAAATGCAGTTCTCCGCTCCACTCCTCCCATTTTTTTTGACAAGACCACGTACTCAATGGGAGTTGTAGGATACGGTTTAGTTCCCGTCATCCTTTGCTCTACACGTTCACGTCTGCCATTTGCTGGCGCACAGCCCTATGGAAGTTGCGGTCCTTCCTGTTAACGCTGTTTATCACAAAGGGCGACGAAGGAACTACAGCTACCGTCATGCACCACTTCTTCCCCGGCCAAGCTTGGAATTGTGTGATCTATCCCGGGACTGATAGCCTCTCCCCTTTGTCTTGGAGGGGGGGGACTACAGTTCCCGGCGTGCCTCGGGCCCCCGTCCTTTGATGTTTACCCCCCTATAGCACTTAGGAAGGGGATTCTCCCCAAAATGGCGGCTCCTGCTTTAAGGGGTTCGGGGGGTGGAGCCTGTACCCCCACCGGCTCCCTAGATTACTGCCTGGCCCAGTTGCAGAGGGGGACCGAGCCAGGGCTGGGCAAGGCCTTGTTGGCCCTCAGGACCCAGCACATCAAGGAAGTGGGAGGCATTGCCCGTTTCAGGACCCACGGGGGGCTGGCGCCACTTTTGGGGATCCTCTCCAGCTCCCCGCGACCGCGCCGCACTTTGGATCTGGCCCTCAGCATCCTGGGCAACTGCTGCACCGAAGGGGGCAGCCGCACCCAAGTGCGCGAACTTGGGGGGATCCCGCCGTTAGGTGAGTGCAAAAAGTGTGTGGGGTGGGGGCAGAATGGGGGGGGAGACTTCATGACTAAAGAATAAGTTAAGAATAATTAATTAATTAATTAAGATAAGATCATGGCATCCGGCCTTCTCAATTCCTCGCAAATCGATGGGAAAGAAATGGAGGTAGTGACAGATTTTATTTTCCTGGGCTCCAAGATCACTGCAGCCAAGAAATTAAAAGACGCTTGCTCCTGGGGAGGAAAGCTGTGGCAAATCTAGACAGCATACTAAACAGCAAAAACATCATCCTGCCAACAAAAGTGTGTATAGTCAAGGCTATGGTTTTCCCAGTTGCAATGTGTGGCTGTGAAAGTTGGACCATAAGAGAGGCTGAGCGCCAAAGAATTGAGGCCTTTGAACTATGGTGCTGGAGAAGACTCCCTTGGACTGCAAGGCGATCAAACCGGTCAGTCCTAGAGGAGATCCACCCTGGCTGCTCTTTAGAAGGCCAGATCCTGAAGAGGAAACTCAAATCCTTTGGCCACCTAATGAGAAGGAAGGACTTACTGGAGAAGAGCTTAATGCTGGGAGAGATTGAGGGCAAAGGAAGAAGGGGACGACAGAGAATGAGGTGGCTGGATGGAGTCACTGAAGCAGTCGGCGTAAACTTAAATGGACTCCAGAGGATGGTAGAGGACAGGAAGGCCTGGAGGAAGATTGTCCATAAGGTCGCAATGGGTCGGACACAACTTCGCAACTAACAACAACAACAAATGACTAAAGAAATGCTCCCCCCCCTGGATTTCTGGAAGGGTGGGGCTGTTTCAACGTCTCCCATCCAAGCCTGATGCCTGGACACATCTTGGACTTCAACTCCCAGGATTCCCAGCCAGGCAGGCTGGTGGGTGAGCTGCATTGGGAATTCTGGGAGTTGAAGTCCGTGATATCGGGAAGGGCATCTCGCCTGGCCAAGGAGTGAAGATACAGCCTTGGTGGGGGGAGGGGGGGAAGCCTTGTGCCCATCAAGCCAAGCTCTTCCCCAACCCCCAAGTCTCCCCTCTTGTAGGTGGGGCTTCTTTCTCAAATAAGGGTGCCCACGGGGGTGGGGGGGAGAAAGGGGATCACTTTTACGTGACACCCCCTTAAATTGGAAGGTGTGTGTAACCTTTTGATTCAAAAGGATGATAACCTCAAAAAGGATTTAAGGATGTTGGAAGTGGGCAAGCTGAATGCTCAGGTTCCCCCCCCCCTTAGTCTTAGAGAGGATTTCAGCTAGAAATAATTCTTATTTCTTAAACTTGCAATCTTAAGGATTTAAAACCATGCCAAACTGAGCCTTGTGTATTGGCCCGGACTGTAGAACATCCCTAAAACTGGGAACATCTCAAGTTAGATTTGTGATGGTTTCTTTGGGCTAAAATGTTTGCCTAAATCCTTAAAAAAAAAATCACAGCTAAATTATGCCTAGGGTCTGCAGTTCCTTTACTTGGCACGCCATCTGCCTGTTAATATTGTGAATACCGCAGCTTCGTCCTTTAAAATGGAGGGACAGGGAAAATGGAAAGCTAGCTATTCATGGTTTCAAGCCAGCAAAAACAAGTTTAGGTTCTATTAATATTTACCTTTTGATTTTATCAGACTCTCCTTGATGCCAAGTTATGAGGCTATGTTAAGTACTTTTTGTTTAGATAACTAAATGCCTGCAAGAATTGGCTAATAGATGTTTTTTGAATTGGAGCTTATACCGCTGCATGCCCTAGCAGTGAAAAGATCTCATAAGTGCATGTATACTCAGCATGGAAGGGATTTGCAACTTTTCCAGAAATATCTAGCATCACATAGCACTTGGTGTAATATGTAAAATGTAGGAAGCTGTTATTTATCTCTAAATTATATGCATATTCTGCTTTTTATTTTTTACAGTTTAAGCTAGCATACATAATGCTATTTTCTCCATGAGGAACAGCCCTGTGAGATGGGTTCGGCTGAGAAAGAGGGACTGGCCAGAAGCCACCCAGATGACTTTCTTTGCCTAAGGAAAGACTAGAGCTCACAATCTCCCAGTTTTTAATCTACACCAAACTACTTCTTGAAACTGGTGTTTTTTTAGAAGCTGATATTCTATAATACATGGATTGGATTGGCATCAGATAGCAAGTGTTGCCCATCCTTGGTTCTGGGGGGGGGGGAGAAATTGTCCCCCTCAGAACAGGCTCGCAATTTGGGTGTCCTCCTAGACTCACAGCTAAGATTAGAGCAACATCTGACAGCTGTGGCTAGGGGGACCTTTGCACAGGTTCGCCTGGTGCACCAATTGCGACCCTACTTGGATTGGGAGGCTCTCCTCACAGTCACTCATGCCCTTGTCGCCTCACGGTTAGATTATTGCAACACGCTCTACATGGGGCTACCCTTGAAAAGTGTTCGGAGACTACAGTTGGTCCAGAATGCAGCCGCGCGAACTATCGTGGGTGCACCTAGATACACCCACATTACATCAATTCTCCGCGAGCTGCACTGGCTCCCTATTGGTCTCCGGGCACAATTCAAGGTGTTGGTTATTACCTTTAAAGCCCTATATGGCTCAGGGCCAGGTTATCTTTGAGACTGCCTTCTACCACATAGCTCCCAGCGACCGATAAGATCCCACAGAGTTGGTCTCCTCTGGGTCCCGTCAGCTAAACAATGCTGGCTGGTGTGCCCACGGGGGAGGGCCTTCTCTGTGGCTACCCCAGTTCTCTGGAACCAGTTACCTCCTGAGGTCCAGACTACCCCCACCCTATTGGCCTTCCGAAAAGCGGTGAAGACCTGGCTCTTCCGGCAGGCCTGGGGCCGTTGATCTCGCTGTTGCGATCTTGTGAGATCCGGCCATGAATGGTGTGCATGGGCTTTTAATGTTTTAATTTTTAAATGTTTTTATACATATATATATTTTAAATGCATTGTAAGCTGCCCTGAGTCTCCGGAGAAAGGCGGCATATAAATTGAAATCATCATCATCATCATCATCATCATCATCCTAGCCCTAGCCACAAACTGCATGAAGGCAAAAATTCAACATGTTACCATCAACAGCAAATGCCGCCTCTGCAACGAGAAAGATGAGACAGTCGACCACCTGATCAGTGGGTGCAGCAAAATTTCACAAACTGACTACCTACAACGCCATGACCGTGTTGCTAAGATCATTCACTGGAAATTGTGCCAGAAGTTTGGATTTGAGTACAGCAAAAACCACTGGGAACATCAGGTTGAGAAAGTTTTAGAGAATGAGAAACTCAAGATCTTGTGGGACTTTAAGATTCAGACTGACAGGCACTTGGTCCACAACACACCTGACATAACAATAGTTGAAAAGAAAAAAGTATGGTTCATTGACATTGCAATACCTGGTGATGCACGGATTGAAGATAAGCAGCAAGAAAAAATCACAAAGTACCGGGACTTGCAAATTGAAGTTAAGCGACTGTGGAAAAAGAAATCGTGTGTTGTCCCGATTGTAATTGGAGCCCTTGGAGCAATACCCAAAGGGCTACCCCGCTATTTAGAAATTCTAAATTTACCGGACTTGAACATTTTGACTCTACAAAAAACCACCTTACTCAGAACAGCTTACATCCTCCTATGATACCTTAACAGTTCCTAGGTCCTTGGTTAGGACTCGAGCTGCTGAGCTATTAACCAGCCTCAAAGGCTGTGAATCTCACTAAAGATTAACTAATAATAATAATAATCCTAGAGATACCTGCCTCTTAGCAAAAAGTGATTAAAAAGCTAAATGTATTATTGTTTGAAGTGCCACAAGACTCTCTTCCCCCCCCCTCCCCAAGACAGCTACTTCTCTGAAAGATGTTGTGGTTTTACAGCTGGTTTATCAAATTGCAACCTTTCCCCACTTTCTCTGTTTCTAGTTACTATCCTGAAGTCACTTGCTGTGGAAAGTATCCTGAATCGGACAGCACGGGCACTCGGCAACTTGGCTGTAGACTCAGAAAATTGCCAGGCCATCCATGAAGCAGGTTGGACAGGGGCTGGGTGGGGAAGAGGGTAGGATCTATTTAAGTGTAGAACTGAGATTTGTAGCATGCGTATCTATCTATACACACACACACACAACTCCTTGTTTACCAACCACTCAGTCAGTGATGTTCAAAGTTACAACCATGCTGAAAAAAGAGACTTATGACCACTCCTCAAAGTTGTGACTGTTGCCACTTCTTTGGGGTCACATAATTGCGATTTGGGTGTTTTTTGTTTTTTGTTTTTAAATTTGATTTATATGCCGCCCTTCTCCGAAGACTCAGGGCGGCTTAAATGCGTTAAGCAATAGCCTTCATACTTTTGTATATTTATACAAAGTCAGCTTATTGCCCTCACAATCTGGGTCCTCATTTCACCTACCTTAGAAAGGATGGAAGGCTGAGTCAACCTTGAGCCTGGCGAGATTCGATCTTACTTTAATTGCAGACAGCTGATGTTAAATTACAGAGCTCTGTTGAGCTATCCAGGCTCCTACCAGTTTTGACAACTGGTAAACATTTACAACAGTTGCAGTATCCCACAGTTGTCGTGATCATCCTTTGTGACCTTCACGGCTGGCTTCTGACAAGCAAAGTCATTGGGGAAGCCAGCAGGAAGCTGTTAAATCAGAGTCACCTGACATTGTGTTTAATCTTTGCAGGTGCTTTCCTTAATGACAGCAGCTGAAATTGATGTAAGTTGATGTGGTCACATAATGTAATACTTAATGACCGTGCCACTTAGCGACAGATTGTGGTTGGTAAGTGAGTATCTGTGACTTAGGAGGTTTACCTATCTTTCTCACCCACTTAATGGTTAAAGGGCACTTCAGGTTTATTTTCTAACATCGTTAGTTGGACTTTCTCCTCCCTTTCTCCATTATGAACAGACACACACACAAAGAGTAAGTTCGAATCTCACCAGGCTCAAGGTTGACTCAGCCTTCCATCCTTTCTAAGGTAGGTAAATTGAGGATCCAGTTTGTGGGGGCAATAAGCTGACTTTGTATAAATATACAAAAGTATGAAGGCTTTTGCTTAACGCATTGTAAGCCACCCTGAGTTTCCGGAGAAGGGCGGCATATAAATCAAATTTAAAAAAGAGAGAGAGAAAGGTTAACAGCTATTAATTGCTTGGAGTCAATATGGCATGGTGGATAAAGATTCTTTGTTCAGTATCAAGCACCCTCAGACAAATTTATGTTCCCACATTCTCAACTGCCCCTTACAAATATGCAGATAAACATTCAATTTTATTGTATGCTAATTAGACATGCTAATGTCTAATATGCTTGGCTATTCTGAGGGCTTGAAATAGTAAAAAAAAATACATTTTATATATTCTGTTAATAATACTTGGTGCAAATTCTGAAGGGCATCATGCATATATAAAAATTCTTTAATGGAATTCATTTAACATAGTAAAACCTTTGCAATACAGGTAGTCCTCAACTATCTATATTGCAATAAATTGAGCCCAGAATTTATGTTGCTGAGTGTATGTTAAATGGGCTTTGCCCCATTTTACAACTTTTCTTGCCACATTTGTTTAATAATAATAATAATAATAATAATAATAATAATAATAATAATAATAAATTTTTTTTTTAATTTTGTTTATATACCGCCCTTCTCCCGAAGGATTTGGGGTGGTGTACAGCCAAGATTAAAAACATAAATATACAATATCATAGTTAAAATTAATTAAAATCATTAAATAATTGGCCAAATTTTAAAACCCAATATTAAAACCCAATTTAAAATCATTCAGTTAGACAGCCCCACCTGTCAGAACAGTAGGGTCTTGAGGGCACAGTGAAAGATCCGGAGGTCAGAGATATCCGGGGGCAATTCATTCCAAAGGGCAGGAGCTCCAACAGAGAAGGCTCTCCTCCTGGGTATCGCCAGCCGACATAACTTGGTTGACGGTACCCTGAGGAGACCCTCTCTGTGGGAGCAGACTGGTCAGTGGGAAGCTATTGGTGGCAGAAGGCGGTCCCGTAAATATCCTGGTCCTATGCCATGGAGTGCTTTAAAGGTGGTGACCAACACCTTGAATTGCACCCGGAAGACCACTGGGAGCAAGTGCAGCTCGCACAGGAGAGGTGTTACATGGGTGTAACGAGGTGCGCCCATAACCACCCGCGCGGCCGCATTCTGGACCAATTGGAACCTCCGAGTGCTCTTCAAGGGGAGCCCCATGTAGAGAGCATTACAATAGTCCAGATGAGAGGTGACGAGGGCGTGAGTGACTGTGCGCAAGGCATCCTGATCCAGAAATGGACGCAACTGGCGGATCAGGCGAACCTGATAAAAAGCCCCCCTGGCTACGGCTGTCATATGCTCTTCTAAAGACAGCCGTGAGTCCAGGAGGACACCCAGATTGCGAGCCCTCTCTGGGGGGGGGCAAAGATTCACCCCCAATAGTCAGCGATGGCACCAGCTGACTATACTGGGACGCCGGAATTCACAGCCACTCAGTCTTGGAAGGGTTGAGTCTGAGCCTATTTCTCCCCATCCCGACCCGCACAGCCTCCAGGCAGCAGGACATCACATCAGGGGCATCATTGGGCTGGTTTGGGGTGGAGATGTACAGCTGGGTGTCATCAGCGTACTGATGGACTCTCACCCCAAAACCATGGATGATCTCACCCAGCGGCTTCACATAAATGTTGAACAGAAGGGGCGAGAGGACCGACCCTTGCGGCACCCCCCAAGCGAGATGCCTCGAGGTCGACCTCTGCCCCCCTGCCAACAAAAACTGCAAGCGGTCGGAGAGGTAGGAGGAGAACAATCGTAACACGGTGCCTCCAATTCCTAACCCCCTCAACCGCTGCAGCATGATACCATGGTCGATGGTATCAAAAGCCGCTGAGAGATCTAATAGGAGCAGGACAGAGGAGCAACCCCTGTCCCGAGCCCTCCAGAGATCATCCACCAATGCAACCAATGCCGTTTCTGTGATGTACCCCTGTCTGAAGCCCGACTGGTACGGGTCCAGATAGACAGCTTCCTCCAGGTACCGGGGTAGCTGTTGTGCCACCACACTCTAGACAACCTTCGCCACAAAGCGAAGGTTGGAGACCGGACAGTAATTTTCTAATACAGCCGGGTCCAGGGATGGCTTCTTGAGGAGAGGCTTCACCACCACCTCTTTCAAGGCGGGGAAAGGCACCCTCACTCAAAGAAGCATTTATAATCCCCTAGAGCCAGCCTCGTGTAACCTCCGGGAGGCCAGTACCAACCAGGAGGGACACGGGTCCAATAAACATGTGGCAGCATTAAGCCCACCCAGAATCCTGTCCACGTCCTCGGGAGCCAAAGGGTCAAACTCTTCCCAGATAAAATTCTCAAGACTCACCCCCGTCTCCCTCCCCGGACTCACCCAGTTGGAGTCCAAGCCTTCCCGAATCTGAGCGACTTTATCATGCAGGAATTGCACAAAATCCTCAGTTTGATCCTGCAAGGGATCTTCCCGCACTTCCACCCAAAGGAGGGAGTGGGTCACCTTAAATAGAGCGGCTGGGCATTTCTCTGCAGATGCGATAAGAGCGGAAAAATAGTTAGATTTTGCTGCTTTTATCACCATTAGGTAGGTCTTGATATAAGACCTCACCTGTGTCCGGTCAGATTTGGATTGACTATCCTCCAAACACTCTCTAGGCGTCTTTTCCGATGCTTCATCTCTCTCAGCTCCTCGGAGAACCAAGGAGACAATTGAGATTGGCATCGGGTCAGAGGCCGCAAAGTCCAAAGCCCCTGCGGCCGCACTATCCCAAGCGGCCACCAAGTCTTCAGTCGAGTCGTGTGCCAGAGTCTCAGGAAATGGCCCAAGCTCCATCTGGAACCTTTCGGGATCCATCAGGCGCCTGGGACGGAACCATCTAGTCAGTTCCGTCTCCCTGTGGCGGGGGGAAGCGGCTTGAAAGTCTAAGCGAAGGAACTAATGATCTGTCCATGACAAGGGTTTAATGTCTAGGTCCCCTCTACCAAGATCATTCAGCCACTGACCAGAGATAAAAATCAAGTCCAGAGTGTGTCCCCCTGTGTGAGTGGGGCCTTGCACTAACTGGGTCAGGTCCATGACTGTCACGGAAGCCATGAACTCCCGAGCCACCTCTGATGTCTCACCGACGGATGGCAGGTTGAAATCCCCCATAACAATAAGTCTGGGGGTATCAACCACCACCCCGACAATCACTTCGAGTAGCTCAGGCAGGGTCGCTGCCACGTGGCAGGGAGCCAGGTACGTAGTCGGCAAGCCCATCTGCACCCCACAACCCCACTTCACAAAAAGGGACTCACATCCGGGTATCTGAGGAATAGTGGCCTCCCTCGGACAAAGACTTTCTCTAATAATTGCCGCTACTCCCCCACCCCTCCCCTGGGCCCTCAGCTGATGAAATGCACGGAAGCCTGGAGGGCACAGTTCAACGAGGGGAACCCCTCCCCTCCTGGCCCAATCAGGTCTCCGTAATCCCAGCCAGGTCTACACCCTCCTCCACAATAAGATCACAAATGAGGGGGGCTTTGTTAATTACCGACCTGGCATTACATAACATCAGTCGAGGACCCAGGGCCTGAAACTGTGCAATCCAGGACACGAGCCACGTTATGGGGGCCGGAATGCGCAATCGCTCGAAGACAGCGAGTGCGCACCCCCTGAACCTGATATGGCCCCCTGCGCCTGCCATACCTGCCCCTCCCACTTATCACTTTGATGGAACTGCCCTTCCTTTCGCCCCCCCCCCGGTGCCCCGGTCAGATTACCCTTCTCCCCTCCTCCACTGAGCCCATCCAACCCACCACCCCACACAGTGGCTATATGGACCCCCCCGGTCCATCTCTACAGCCCCCTCTCCCCCCTCCCCGGTCCCCTTAAAAGCGTCCCTGTTACCCTTTTTAAAAAACCCCTCAACCCCCTCTTTTTCACATGCCACTTCTCCGGGTCCCAAAACCCGTCATTGAGGTAGGCCCTCGATAATGTGGAGGGCCAGTCTGCGAGAGGGGGGCATCTCGCAATGCAATTAGTTAAGCCACCAAATACACCCACTAAGAAGACCAAATGGAACTGGTATCTGGGTGGGGTCCAATAAAGTTCTATAGAAGATGGTAAAAGATGGTAGAAACCATGTGGAAGAAACAGCTGGCTTCCACTGTTCTCTCACCAAGTGAATCACTGCTGTTGTTAAATCAGTGACATGGTTGTTAAATGAATTGGCTTCCCCATGGACTTTGCCCGTCAGGTCACCAAAGGTGATAACATGACCCCTGGACATTACAACCGTCATAGATATGAGTCTGTTGCCAAGCATCTGGGTTTTGATCACATGTCCATGGGGATGCTACAACAGTCATAAGTGTGAAAACTGATCATAAGTCACTTTTAAAAAACTTTTAAAACTTTGAATGGTCATTAAACAAACTGTTGTAAGTCAAGGACTGCCTGTCATTTGAGACAACTGGAAATAGATCTGACTCATGTTTAGACTATGTAGGATCTTCTCTTCCTTGCCATTTTCTCACTGCCCGATATTTTCCCTTACAGGAGCCGTTCCCCAGCTAATCCAGGTCCTCACCACCTCCCAGGACAGTGAATGTTTGCAGAGCGTGATCAGGGCCATTCGCTATCTGGCTGATACTCCTGCTCACCGTCTAGTGCTGGCCCAGCAGGGGGCAGTCCGCCCCATAGTGGAGCGCCTGACTTCCTCCCTGGAGGACGGGGCCCTGATTGTAGCCGCGGTGCGCACCCTCGTGGAGCTCTCAAAGGGCTGCAGTCGTGACTGTGCGGAGCAGCTCAGCTTGGGAGGCGGGATGGTGCCCCTCGTAGCCTTAGCCAGCCACGAGAAACGGGTGGTGCAGGAATCGGCCCTCGCGGTCCTGGCCAACCTCTGTCTGCAAGGCATGCTGAGGCCAGCTATCGGCAATGCTGGGGGGGTGGAGCTGCTAGTGGGGGAGATCCAACGCCGGAGGGGAGCCGGGGCACCTGGGGCCTCCCTCCATCCGCTGGTGAAAGCTTTGTGCCTCCTGTGCCGCGAGGCGGTTAATCGGAGCCGGGTGCGTGAGACCGGAGGATTAGAGTTACTGCTCTCCCTCTTGCGGGATCGATGTCACAGCTATTCGCACGCTCGGGTGGTGGTGGCTTTCGTGGCCTTTTTCTACGACGAGGAGGCCCTGGAGATGCTGCAGGCCGGAGGACTGGTGCCCTTGCTGGTTGGCAGGCTGGCAGCCCAGAGCCAGTGGTCGGGCTGGGAACAAGTGGAGGAGGAGGAGAAAGAACATGAAGATGAGAAAGACGCGGCGTCGTTTGACTTCCCTGCTGAGGGGCGGCGAGGAGAGCAGGCCTTACCAGGAGCAGAGAGTTCCAGCTTTCAGAGCCTGAGGTAAATTTGGTTTTAGCCTGGAGGCCATCTGGGTGCAGGGACTGTTCAACAGCTTCAGATGGGTTGGACTACAAATCACTCAGATGTGCTGGATCTGCTGCCTCACAGTCATTGGCCAAATTGGCCTTGGGTTCCAATAAGAAGCATTGTACAGGTAGTCCTCGACTTACGACCACAACAGAGTCCAAAATTTATGTTGTTAAGTGAGATGCTTGTTAAGTGATTTTTTTGTTTTTGCCCCATTTTACAACCTTTCTCGCCTCCATTGTTAAGTGAATCACTGCAGTTGTTAAGTTAGTAACAGGGTTGTTAAGTGAATCTGACTTCCCTATTGACTTTTGTTTGTCAGAAGGTGGCAAAAGGGGATCACCTGACACCAGAACACCGCAATTGTCATAAACATGAATCGGTTCCCCAGCACCTGAATTTTGATTACATGACCATGGGGAATGCTGCAACGTTCAGTGCCATTGTAACTTTGAGAACCACCTATACTCCAAAGCTCTTAACCAGTATTGCAGTGGAAAAAGCAGGTTTATAAATCAGAGATGGATGGGGCTAAGTTTGAAAAGCTGCCAAAAATGTGTTTACATTCTGAAGCCCATTTGGGAAATGGACAGTAAACATGAACAGACAATAAAAAAAGGAAAACTCTGCATCAATTCTTCAGGTTTTTTAGCACGTTTGCAAGTAAAGGACATTTGTTTATCTTGCATATCCAAATGCAATCCTAAATTGCATTAACAGGGATTTAATCAAGATCACTTGAGGTCCTAATACCACCGTATAAAGCCTTAGAAAGACCAAACCTGGAATACTGCATCCAGTTTTTGTCACCACACAATTAAAAAAAAAAAGATGTTGAGACTCTAGAAAAAGTGCAGAGAAGAGCAACCAGGATGATTAGGGGACTGGAGGCTAAAACATACAACGAACAGTTGCAGGAACTGGGCATGGCTAGTCTAGTGAAGAGAAGGACCAGGGGAGATAGGATAGCAGCCTTCCAATATTTGAGGGGCTGTCACAGAGAGGAAGGGATCAAGGTATTTTCCAAAGCATCTGAAGGCCAGACAAGGAATAATGGATGGAAACTGATCAAGGAGGAATTCAACCTGGAAATAAGGAGAAATTTTCTGACAGTGAGAACAATCAACCAATGGAACAGAAGTTCCTTTCGGAAATCGTGGCAGCTTCATCACTGCAGGATTTCAAGAAGAGACTGGACTGCTATTTGTCAGAAATGGTGTAGGGTCTCCTGCTTGGGTGGGGGTTTGGGCTAAATGACTTACAAGGTCCGTTCCAACTCTGTTATTCTGTTCTGTTCTGTTATTCTGATATCCGATCCTAGGATTTCCTAAATTGGAATTCTAGGAAAGCCCTGGCAAACTGAAAAACACAAAAATATCCAAATAAGGAGCGGGTGGGCAGTAGAGGTAAGCAAAGCTGGGCAACTGACTTTCTCTGATTGCTGCCAGCTCTGCAGAGTTACGTCTGCATTCTTCATATAAAGTTCACCTAGTTTATAGGTCCAGTTGTTTGTTTTTCTTTTAATGGGAAGTTGAATTTCTCTGAATTTGGGGCCTCCTATTTGATTTACTCATGAAAACCCTTCAGCAGATGAAAATGCCTAGCTGACCATGTGAAGCTAAGCAGAATCAGGCTTGGTTGATACTTGGATGGGAGACTGGCAGGATATACCAGGCCTATCCCAAATATTTGGAAATTTTCAAAAAACATCCCAGAAGCCCTAGTCTATGAAGTCTACGAAGTCACCAAGAGTCGAGTTCTGTTTGAAGGGGCTACTCCTTGACTTTCATGAATTCATTTAGTGACCGTTGGCACTGACTTAATGGCACTGAAAAAAGAGACTTGCAACAACTGGCTCTCGCACATATGACTGTCACAATGCCCCTGGGGTCTCATGATCAAATTTTGGACCATCTGGCATTCTGCATGTAATTACGATTGTTGTGGCATCTTGGAGTCATGTGATCAATATCTGCAACCTTCCCAGCTACCTTCAGACGAGCGAAGTCCAAATGTGGGCTTCGCATAATTTAACAACCAGTTCGCCCAGCATTGAAAATGTGAGCGCATGCACCTTCCGTGCAGCTTCTGCATATGTGCTTTGCTCGGGCGTGTGACTCATGCACATGTGCAGCTTAAAAAATGTAGCTAAATAGGACAGCATAGTGCAGGGGCGCGTGGGCGGGCGGGCCCACCCCTAGGTAGCAACTACTGGTTTGCCCGAACCAGTCCGAACTGACTGAATCCCACCACTGGTGAAGTCAATGGGGGAAGCCAGACTTGCTTAACAACCATATGATTCATTTAACAGTTGCAATGATTTGCTTATCAACTTTGGCAAGAAGGTTGTAAAATCATGCATGACTCACTTAACAAGTGCCTTATTTAGCAACAGAAATTCTGGTCCCAGTGGCTGGCTGGGGAATTCTGGGAGTTGAAGTCCATATATCTTACAAGTTGCCAAGATTGAAAATACACTGCATTGTAATAACATGAAAATTCAGTGTACTATAAACCATTCAGGGCTTTGTGCCCTGAATGGCTTGGCACACCTTTCATTACTTTTCCACCAGGCACGGATGGCTTGTGACAGCATTGCTCTGCAGAAGGAGAATCTTCTGACTTGCTAATTTGGATAATTGAAAAATTTACAGTTGAGAGAGTTCAACTGTACAATCTGTACCCAGTTTTTATTCCAGTGCTTTTCAGCCAAACATGCTCTTCTCCCCATTCCAAATCTTCCATCATGTATATATTTCAAAGCTTATTCTTCTATGTCTCCAACGCAGGTCCTGGCTTGTCTCGGAAGGTTATATTTCCAGTCCAGGAGATCTTTCTCCCCAGTGGTCTCCTGACACCACCCTTTCTGAGTTGGAGGCCCAAGGAGATATTAGTCCCAGCCAAGAACTGCAAGATGAATCTCTAGGACCTTGCCACAGCACGTCTGGGGTGAAAACCCATTCTAGAGCCGAATCGCCCGATTTTTTACATTCTCCTTTCTTGGATTTGCCTCCTGGGGGGCAGCCCAGCCTTTCAGAGACTTCAAACTTAGCAGCAAAAGGCGGAATTCTTCCAGATCACAACCTCAATCCTACAGCGGTACCTTTGTCGGCTGAATCTGAAAATCTCCACCCAGAACCTGTCTTGGAGGTCCCACATTCAGAGGGGAATAAGGAGGGAAAAACAGATGGGGCCAATAAGCTGCCAAAAGAGCTGGCGATGTCAGAACTGGCAAATTTAGAGGAGGAGGTTCTCCCTGGAGATGATATCTTACAGCTGCCTTGTTTATCCACGTCAGAGGAAATGCCAAATTCAGGAAAAATAGATGGACGAGCTGAACAATCCCCTTGGGTTGCCTTGGTAGCCAGCCAGAACAGCTCTGGGCCCAGTAACTCCAACTCCATTCCATTTATCGTGATTCCAAGCAATAGTGACAGAATCCAGCTGTCACCAGGGCCTGTTGCCAAATCCCCGGTCAAAGAGGAAGCGTGCTCGGTCACTCCAAAGCTGAATGTTCAGGCTCTCCCAACTTCTCCTGAGGAGTACAAGACGCCTACCGCTTACTGGAAACGGCGCACCAAGCTCCGCTCCTTCTTGGAGCAAAGCACACCGCCATCTCAGGGCTTGTGCCCTGTCCCCGAGGCTTCGTCTCCCTGGCTCTCCTTGACCTTGCCACTCTCTTTTTCTCCCCACATGGGTGACCCAGACTTCCATGCTCCTGAAGCACCAGCCCTGCTCCTCCTTTCCCGCTTTTCTCAAGCCGAGGATCCTAGTCGGAGTCTGGTGACGCCGGACACGCTGCAAGGACTCTTGCGTTATATCACCAGGAGTCCTTCCCCTTCCTCCCGCTGCCTTCGGCTGCTTCATCGTCTCACCTGCAATCCGGCTTGCCTAGAAGCCTTCGTGCGCTCCCATGGGCCCTCGCTCATCAGGGCTTGGTTGATACTGGGTGTATCCCCTGAGCAAGCCGCTACCGCCATCACTGGGGAAGCCGAAGAAGCCGAGACAAGCGGGTTGTGTGATCCTGGGAAATTCAAGGAACTTGGTGTGTTGGTGTTGGGGTGTGTGTGTGTGTGTGCGATCACGTAGTTTAGGACAATCTCCCACCTGTGACTGGATGTATGATTCCCTTTATTCCAGTCAAGATGCTTCTTTAGGCTTACAGTTAGTCCTTGACTTAACAACCAAAGTTGAGCTCAAAATTTCTGTTGCTAAGCGAGACAGTAAGTGAGTTTTGCCCCATTTTGCAACCTTTCTTGCCACAGTTGTTAAGTGAATCACTGCAGTTGTTAAGTTAGTAACCCAGTTGTTAAGTGAATCTGGTTTCCCCATTGACTTTGATTTATTTTGATTTATTTGGCTTGTCAGAAAGTCGCAAAAGGGAGACAATGCAAATCGCCATAAAGATGAGTCAGTTGCCAAGCATCTGAATTTTGACCACGTGACCATGGGGATGCTGTAGTGATTGTGTTATAAGTCACATTTTTCAGTGCTGTTATAACTTTGAAAATAGTCACTAAATGAATGGTTGTAAGTTGAGGACTTCCTGTATAGGAGTTGGATGATTTAGACTACATCCCTAGGTTGGGAAGGCTGTCCAGAATACTGTAATAGCAATAGCACTTACATACCGCTTCACAGAGCTTTAACACTCTCTCTAAGCGGTTTACAGAGTCAGCCTATTGCCCCCAACAATCTGGCTCCTCATTTTACCCACCTCAGAAGGGTGGAAGGCTGAATCAAGCTTGAGCCTGGTGAGATTTGAACTGCCAAATTGCAGTCAGCCGGCAGTCAGCAGAAGTAGTCTGCAGTACAAGACAGGTAGTCCTCGGCTTACAACAGTTCATTTAGCAACAGCTCAAAGTTACAATGGCCCTAAAAAAAGTGGCTTATGACCGTTTTTCACACTTATGACTGTTGCAACATCCCTGTGGTCGTGGGATCAAAATTCAGATGCTTGACAGCTGACTCATATTTATGGACAGTTGCAATGATCCTCGTTTGCGACCTTCTGACAAGCCAAGTCGATGGGGAAGCCAGATTCACTTACCCACCATGTGACTCACTGAACATCTGCGGTGATTAACAACCGTGGCAAACGGCAAAACTCGCTTAGCAAATGTTTTGCTTGGCATGAGAAATGTTGGGCTCAATTGTGGTCGTAAGTCAAGGACTACATGTATCGGAGTCGATATTGGTCCAATTGCTAAGCAAGACAGTTGTTAAGTCAGTTTGTGTCCATTTTACTATCTTTTTGCCATGGTTTTTAGGTGAATCACTGAATTTTTTTAAGTGAATCTGGCTTTCCCCATTGACTTTGCTGGTCAGAAACTCCCTAGAAAGGTTGCAAATGGCAATCCCAGGACCCTAGGATGCTGCAACCATCATAAAGGTGACTGTGGGGATGCTGCAGCAGTCGTAAGTGTGAGAACTGGTCCTAAGTCACTTTTTCAGTGTCGTCGTAACTTTGAACGGTCATTAAATGAATGGTTGTAAGTCAAGAAATTCTGACATCAGTGGCTTTCACATTGGGGATCTTCTCATCTCTAGCTTTCTGCCCTAATGTCCTACCTCACTGGATCTTTGATATTGGGGCAGCCACTGATAGAGATTGGGGTCTCCAAATTTGGCAACTTTAAACCAGCATGGCTGGCTGGGGAATTCTGGGAGTTGAAGTCCACAAGTCCTCCAAACTGCTAAGTTTGGGGACCCCTGATCCAGACTGAAGTGCTGGGACTCCTGATCTCTTGTTACTATTACAGGTGGTGCTATCAACCAAGGTTCAGTGGGTCTTGGTGATGGGATGGGCAACGGGCAGCTGTTCCAGATGTTGAGCTGCAGTTCTCATTGACCTCTTGTCTGTGATCATGGTGGCTACAGCTGAGAAGATCTGGGGTTGGTTCACCAGCGTGGAATGGGGAACATTATTTCCCTTATTGTTTTTCAGTCGAGAGATTACCTGTGCAGTCAGTGAAATAGGTCTCTTGAGCTTAGTGGAGGAGGAAGAGAAATGGGAAAAAAAAAACCTTTAAGTTAATAGGACATACTGACTTTCCCACATTGTTGGCTGCTTTTCTTCCCAGTCAGTACAGGTTATTTTAGATGAAGACGCTGCATCTAACCCACTTGCCTTTTCCCTGCTCCACAGGAGAGGCACTACTGATGAACCTCTGCGTGCAGGCAGAGTCCCCCTTTGGCGTGGGGGTTCTCACTCACATGCTGCTGTCAGGCTGTGAATCAGATCAAGCAGCCTCTGCGCTGGCGCTGCCCCTCATCTGCCGGTGAGTTGAGCTCCAGAAAAGGCCTTAAACTCGATTTCATTGAGGGCTGCATCAGGGTTGTGTTTGATCTCGGGGGCCAGGGTGGGCGTGGCCACGGTGGGCATAGCCAGCTTGATGTCATTCATGTCAGGGGCGTCTGGGATGGCCCGAGCGCTCTGCCAGCGAAAATGGGCTCCTGAGCTCTTTTTCAGCCTCGACAGCCTTCTGCCACACTCTACCAGTGAAAACGGAGCGTGTGACACTCCTGAGCTCTGTTTTCACTGGCAGAGGGCGGCAGGAGATTGTTGCGGCTGAAAATGGAGCCTGGGAGGGCCGCATGCAGCCCTCCCAAGCTCCATTTTCACTTGCAGAGGGCTGGTCCTTTGCTGTTTCTAGGACAGCCCGGCAAGCCAGATCTAAGCACCCCGCAGACCGCATCTGGCCCCCGGGCCTTGAGTTCGACACCCCTGCCCTAAGTCAATGTTAACCTGGGTGGTCTTTGTGCGGTTGAATATCATGTGAACACAAATCTATTTTGTTCAGGAGATAGTTCAAGGTAACAGAGAACACAAATAATACGTGACTGAGCCGTTGCATGTGGCTATCTTGGATTTTCTATTGATCCCCAGAAGTTTAAATATTGGGGGGGCTTAGTGGCTGTGGAACCTCAAAAGTACGTCCATGCTGCTTATCCTCAAATGGATGAGATCACCCATTAAATGATTTTTGAAAGAGGCCATGATGTGGGAGGTAACTGGTTAATGTTGTAGGTACGATCTCACGGAAACCGGAAGATTATGGGAGAAGGTTGCACTCTACCTGAGGTTGCTCCAAATTTGGGGAGAAATATTGTGAGGAGTGGGAGGGGGGAGAGAAAGGAGATTGAATTGCAACAGGCAGCAATACTCTTCATTGTGTCTTCTCTCTGCTGCAGGAAGGATTCTGTTTGTCGGAAGCTGCTGGTGGGCCTCTCTGGCCTGCGGATCTTGCTAGGGGTCCTGGCGCGGGACCCCGACCCCTATTTTGTCTTCTATACCTCCGACGCTCTTTCCCTCCTCCTGAGCTCCCAAGCTCCATCTCCTGCTTCTGTGTCGTCTCCTGCCTTGAAACGGCCTCGTCTGGATTCTCCACAGCCTTGCTCTTATGCTCGCATCATGGAGGAAGGTGGGGCTGACTTGTTCTTCCAGCTGGACTCTGGCTGCAGAGTGCCCGCCGTGCGACAGGCAATCAGCGACGCTTCTGAGGTCTTCCGGGCCATGCTGAGTGGAGGCTTCGCAGAGTCATCCCACACCACCGTGACACTTCGCGACGTGTTGCCAGAACCTTTCCTGGCTGTGACCCATTTCCTCCATGGCTGTCGTGGCAAACCCTGCCAGGTCCTGGGGACGCCGTTCCCCCTCGCTTTAGCAGAAGAAATCTTGGTGGTTGCCGAACAGTATCTCCTCCCAGACCTCCAGACCTTGGTGGATGAAGCATTGTGCCAAAACTCTCTCTGCCCTGGGACTCTTGGGGAGGTGTACCGGCTGGCCGAGCAGCAGAACCGGCCCCGTCTCCTTCAGAATTGTGTGGCGTCTGTTTTCGTTCGGGAGGGGTCAACCCCCACCCACCGAGCTGCTGCCCTGGCAGAGCTGCTCCGATCTGCTGCAGATCCCAGCGGTTTAGCTGCCAAGCTGCTCGGAGTGGTGTTGGAATCTCCGTGGGGCAGTGGCTCTGAGGGCCAGCTAAGCTGACCGATAGGTCCTTCTTTCTCCCCTCTCCCAGTTCTTACACACAACTGGAGCACTGATGTTGTTGTGTATCGGGCAAGGGAGAGGGCGGTTGGAGTGTTAAATGAATAAATGGCAAGGTGCTCGGAAAAGGGGAGTCTGGGTCAGTGGATGGTTCTATAGTGATCAGGACATCAGCCTAGCAGGGAGGAAGATGTGGGACCAGGCACTGTTAGATCAGTTGGGGGTGAGGCTGGGGGTGGAAAGAGAGAGGCCTCGTATCAGAAATAAGATTTGCCTGCTAGCTGCTATACCACTGTTTCTTAATCTCTGTAACTTTAAGAGGGGTAGACTTCAACTCCCAGAATTCTGGCTGGGGAATTCTGGGAGTTGAAGTCCACCCTCTTAAAGTCCCAAGGTTGACAAAAACTGTGCTAGACTAACCAACATAGGTAGAAGCCATAGAACTCCTATTCAGGAGCTTTGTGAATCCTTCCTGTCAGAAATTTGATTGGTCGAAACTCAAAGAAGGAGGAGTCTCGTTTTAGCCAGGGGCCAGCTGTGAAAAGGGTCAGCTTTGAATATGTAGCATATAGGGCAACCCTGTTCTGGTGCTAGTTAGGTTCAGAAATGAATCCCAGTCTCAGAATTGGAGATGTTTCTTCTCCACTGTACACAGGAAGGAGACATCAAAAGCGGGCGATTGTAGCAGAAGGAAACTGAGTCAGCAGGACTCCCACAGGCACCTGAAGGAAGCTGCAGGGGTTGAAATGTTGTCTCTTTCCAGAGGAGTCAAGGAAGCAGTTACCCCGAGAACTTGGCCTGTAAAAAGGGGGAAAGGCCCAATTGTGCAGTTGGAACGATAAATGTATATGAACTGATGTTGCACATAGAGAAATGCAGAGAGGCATGAAGCACTCAGAATGGCTGTGTAACTTGCCCTTATTTCCTCAACAGCACCTAAGGAAGACGGGCAGCTTTTCACAATTCACACTGGAGAGTCCGTGGATAGCCTGCAAAATCAAAATTGAAAACTGGTCGAGAGACCCCGTTGTGCAAATCCATCAAGAATGTATTTCATTCCTCTCTTTCCTGTGGGATGGATACCGTGCTGCTGACTTTCGGCATGAAGTCCTCTGGGACAGCCTGGTGTCTGATCTGCTGAGTAAGCCGAGAGAGCTGATGGAATTTGCCTGCCCTCTTAATGCCAGTTAACATCCCTTTGAATTGAATTGTGAGGCCTCTTGGCCTTGCTCCCACCCTCCCCTTCTTCGCCTTCCGATGCTGAGAACAGGAAACGCCTGTTTCTAACTGCATCCAGATGGTGTCCAGCATCGGCAAAGGGAGAAGGGAGGGAGAAACCACTTCCTAAGAGTCTTGGTTTCTATAGGCCACATTCGTCTGGAATGGGGCGGGAGAAGGAATCCTAATTCCCCCCCCCCTTTTTTTTGAGGGTGGGCTGTCATCTGGCTATTCCACTCCTTTTTTTTGCCATTCGTGGGCACATCCGGCAACAGCCAAGATAAGCAGTTTTTCCCCCCACTAAGATAATGAGAGCGTATATTCTTACATTAGCTACTTCTTTCCTTGCTTCTGATGCAGCTTCAACGTAAGTGAGGAAATTCTCCTGTTTAGTATCCCTGGGGCTTCATGTTACGGAAGGCCACAGGAGCCAGCCACCAGCGCTAGCAGCTGATTTCTCACAGAGCTGTCAGTATGGGACTGAAGCAAACTGGGTCATATAACGTCTTTGCTTCTGAAACCATGTCCTTTGCCCAAAATTGGGGTAGATGCACGTCTCTGCTTTTGTAACTCTTGCCAGTCCACACCAAGAGTGCATTCAGTCTTGCATAAACCCTCAGTTGTGTTTTATGTGATCTCGCCAAAGCTTTTATAAAATGATCCTTCTGCATTAGTTCTTAACTCTAGAACAGTGTTCCTCAATTTTTCAGGTATGTGGACTTCTGTCCCAGAATTCCCCAGCTGGCATGCCGGTTAGAAAATTCTAGGAATTGAAGTCCACACTAATAGTCTCCAATAGTGGCGACTGTGAGAGGGATCTTGGAGTCCTAGTGGACAATCACTAATCATTAAATATGAGCCAGCAGTGTGCTGCAGCTGCCAAAAAAGGCAACACGGTTCTAGGCTGCATAAACAGGGATAGAATTAAGATCACGTGAAGTGTTATTGCCACTTTATAATGCCTTGGTAAGGCCACACTTGGAATACTACATCTAGCTTTGGTCACCCTGATGTAAAAAAGATGTGGAGACTAGAAAGAATGCAGAGAAGAGCAACAAAGATGATTAGGGGACTGAAGGCTAAACCATAATAAAGAACGATTGCTGGAATTGGGTATGTCTAGTTTAATGAAGAGAAGGACTAGGGGAGACATGATAGCAGTATTTCAATATCTCAGGGCTTGCCACAAAGAAGAGGGAGTCAAGCTATTCTCCAAAGCACCTGAGGCCAGAACAAGAAGCAATGGGTGGAAACTAATCAAGGAGAGAAGCAACTTAGAACAAAGGAGAAATTTCCTGACAGAATAATCAGTCCGTGGAACAACTTGCCTCCAGAAGTTGTAAATGCTCCAACACTGGAAGTTTTTAAGAAGAGATCAGATAACCATTTGTCTGAAGTGTAGGGTTTCCTGTTTAAGATGGGGGTTGGATTAGAAGACCTCCAAGGTCCCTTCCAACTTTATTATTCTATTCTTATTCTACACGTATTAGAATTGCTGAGGTTAAAAAAAAAACCCAGTGCACGAAGACATTCGGGAAGTTGTTAATATAATATAGGTAGTCCTCAACTTATGACCATTTAGCGACTGAAAATACAATGGCACTGAAAAAAGTGACAACCGGCCCTTGCATTTTTGCAGTGTCCGCAGGGTCACCTGAACAAAATTAAGATGTTTGGGCAACTGGTATGTATTGATACTAGTTGCAGCATCCCAGAATCACCTGATTTCCATTTGCAACCTTCCCAGCTAGGAAGCCTGGATTTATTTAATGATCCCCTATTTTGCTTAACAGTTTTTGCAAAAGAAAAAAAATACAGAATAAAAAGATTTGGGGAATCTACTCTGATTAAACTTTTCTTGATTTAGGACCACAATTGGAACCAAATATTCTGTTGCTAAGTTATTCAATGGGCCATGCCCGATTTTGCTGCCTTTTTTCCATGGTCATTAAGCAAATCTGGTTTCCCCCATTGAGTTTGCTCGTGAGAAGCTGGCTGGAAAGTTCTCAAATGGCAATCACATGACAACCCCCCCCAACCATGCAACTATCGCAGATACATGCTGGTTGCCAAGGGCCCGATCACGCGACCATGAAGATGCCGTGACGGTTGTTAAGTGGGAGAACCAGACATAAGTCACTTTTTTCAGTGCAATTGCAATTTCGAACCGTCGCTAAACGAATGGTTGTAAATCAAGGATTACCTGTACGCTCCACAGTCAATATTGTATATTCATCATGAGTTGTACCCAAATGGGAGAAGATACCTTTTTCATCTAGCCACCTTCCAGATGTCAGAAGACGGAATCCATCACATCTGGTACATGCCAGAGCTGCAACAGAAAAGTCATTGCAAAACCTCTACTTTGTTTTAGTAACTAGAAATTAGGGTCTACAGCCCTGAGAACTCTTAGCACACAAGCACACACAGACACATCCTTAGGAGGAGAAGGCTGCATATCCTTGGCTTAGGAGGCCTGGAATAGGCCCTCCCCCTTTTTTTTACCTCAGGGCTCTCACAGCTAATGCTGCTAGATCTCACTGACAACATTTTGTATGCTTGCCATTTCTTGGTTTTTCTTTTTTTACTTTGTGTGTGTGCATGTGTGTTACTGTTCAATAGTGCCTGACTATCTGAAGGTGCCCGGACAAGTCCTGCAAAGTTTTTCCAGAAGTGGTTCGCCATTGCCTCCCTCCTAGGGCTGAGAGGAAGTGGCTGGCCCAAGGTGAAGCCCAGCTGGCTTCATGGACTAGAACCGGATAGCAGAAAATGGTTTTTGGGGAGTGTCAACAGAATAGTACAATGCAGATCTTTAAAAAAACAAAACAAAATAGGTGTTCAAATTTCAGGGATGTCTTCCTGTTGATCATCAAATCATCCTGCCTCAGGGCTACATTAACATTCAGATTTGATGACTTTTTCTCTCCTCTCTCATTCTCCAACTTTTGTTCCGATTCCCGCCCCCTCTTTGTATCTTGCCTTCACTCCCTCCCCCTCCCAAAAAATCCTCTGAGTCAAATCATTTCAATGGTTAAGTGACTAAATTCTCCCCATGATTCTCAGCTACACCCCAGCCAGGAATATTGTCGTTTATAAAACCACTCCTTAACTCCAGAACTGCAAATCTCTTTCCCTGTTTTTTGGCATCTGGAATACCTGATGGGCCAAACAGATGTGATATCAGAACTGCTTAAATTGGATCTGCCTTATGGATTCCCAACATCTCTGGGGTGTCGGGATGTGAACCTCAAAGTGTGGGAAGGAAAGGAAGATTCCTGTGCAAACGGAGCTTGATTTAAAGTGCTTTTCCCCCATGGAGCTGGAAATCTTTATTTTACAGAGAGTGGTGTTCAATTGGAATTAATACAGGCTTAATACAGGTAGTCTTTCACTTAACCACCACAATTAAGCCCAAAATTAATGTTGCTAAGTGAGAAATGTGTTCAGTGAGTTTTGCCCGTTTTGCGACTTTCCTTGCCACATTTGTTAAGTGAATCACCACAGCTGTTAAATTAGTAACCTGGTTGTTAAGTGAACCTGGCTTCTCAGTTGACTTTGCTTGTCAGAAGGTCGCAAAAAGGTGATCACGTGACCCTAGGATGCTGCAAACCGTCATAAGTGCAAGTCAGTTGTCAAGCATCCAAACGTAAATCACGTGACCATGGGGATGCTGCCACGATCGTAAATGTGAAAAATAATTATAAGTCACCTTTTTCAGTGGTGTCACTTCAAACGGTCACTAAGTGAAGTTGAGAACTACCTGTATTTCCCTCCCTTCCTTAACTCTCACTGGCACTGTTTGTGGCTACCATTCCGTGTTAATACATCCACACAATACTAGTTTCTCTTGACCATTGAGCGGTTGGCACAAGGAGGCTAGAGGTTTGCAAAAGGAAGCTGAAAAATTGACCTTGCTTCATGGGAATCCGTCTCTCTGCTTGACATGCCTTTCTTGTCACAGAATGAACTTCTTTCCAAACTTGCCTCCTGAGGATTCTTCAAGATCATCCCAATATCCTGATACCCTCATCTCAAAATTGTCTATGGAGATTCTCAGTCATCCAGATCACGGTTTGTCCCAAAGGTGCTTTTCTTTCCTCGTGAGGCAACTGGACTTTCTGGGTTTTTTTCTTTGAAGACCTTTTGCTTCTCATCCAAGAAGCTTCTTCAGCTCGGTTTTCATAGCTGAAGAGGCTTCTGGGGTGAGAAGTGAAATGTCTTCAAAGAAAAGACACACACCAGAAAGTCCAGTTGCCTCTTGAAAGAAGCACCTTTGGGACTCAACTCAAAATCCCTCCCACCCGCATCACCCCGCGAGGCGTCTCGTCTGGAGAGGCGAGGGTCGGTGGGTGGGTGGGTGGGTTGGGGTCCCCCTTGGATGGGCCGACGCTTCCTTGCCCCTAATTTAACCATCTTCCCCTGGAGTGGACGCGAGGCCACGACGCGCGCGACGTGTGTGTTTGTTAGGTCCGTGTCGGGGCGGATTGTGGTGGTGATGGGGCTGGTGGGGGTGGCGCGTCCATCCTTCCTGCCCGAGCGCGAATCCCCTTTGCCATAAATGGTCACCCGCAACTGCAGCGGCGGCGGCGGCGGCGGCAAGGCAGCCAAGACGGGTTGACGGGCGGACAGGCGGGCGCGGCAACAAGCACGGAGCCGCGCTCCGGGAAGGCGCGTCACTGGGGTGGGAGCCGCCCAGCTTGCAACTACCGGCCCGGAGTCCGGACCCAGCCGTGCCGGCCCGGGATGGACGATCTGGGTAAGAAGCGCCCGGAGGGAAACCCACCCTCCCCTCCACCCGTCTCCGCCGCCGCCGCCGCGTCCTTCGGGTCTCCAATCTCTTCCCCTCTCGCCCTTTCCCCGCCTTCCCCCTTCGGCTCTCGGCTTGCTTTTTTTTTTTTTTCCCCCCCACCGAGTCCCTTCTTTCGCGTTGCCCGCTCGTCATTTTCCCTTCCTCCCTCCCTTCTCTTTTTTTTCCTCCTTCCTTCTTAGCATTCCCGCCTTCCTTTATTGCTCTTCGGCCGGACTTTCTTTCCGCTCTTCTTTTTTCTTCCTTCTTTTCATTTCCAAACGGGGCGGCAAGGGGGGGGGGTTTGGATGGGCGAGAGGCCGATGCAGTCGCTGCACATCATTTCTCTCTCCCCCTCCCCATTCCACTTTAAAAAACAAAAAACTTCTTTTCTCTTTGCGTCGCGTTCTCGCGCAGCGACCGCCGCGGTTTTTTTATTTTTTTTTTAAATTTTGGCACTCGGTTTCCATTCCCCCCCCCCTACACACAGCTTTATCCCACGCCCTTCTCCAACCCCCTTTGCAAAATCCCCCTTCCTTCCCTTCTTCCTCTGAGACCTTTTTTTGCGTGAGGGTCGCCTCCCTTTTTCACCGGAATTGCCCTTGCGAAGGAAGGGCGGGGGTCGGTGGGTGTGGAACTGTCTGGCTTCTTCCCACGAGAACGTGGGAATGCGACTGCCGCGTGGGACGGGCGTTTGCAAACCCGGAGGTTTTTTTTTTTTTTTTGCCTTGCGTGTAGGGTCTGAGTTTTAATTCCAAATTGGAGGATTAAGCCTGACATCCCCGAGGGAACCATCACGTGTGAAGGGGCTGTCCTGCTTTGCAAACTTCCCCGATTGTGGGTTCTTACGCGTGTGGCCTCTAAAGAAGAATTAGGGGTGACATGATAGCAGTATTCCAGTACTATTTGAGGGGCTGCCACAAAGAAGAAGGGGTCAAAATGTTCTCCAAAGCACTAGAGGGCAGGACAAGAAACAATGATTGGAAACTAATCAAAAAGAAAAGCAACCTGGAATTAAGGAGAAACTTCCTTAACAGTGAGGACAATTAACCAGTGGAACAGCTTGCCTCTAGAGCAGTGGTTCTCAACCTGTGGGTCGGGACCCCTTTGGGGGTCGAACGACCCTTTCACAGGGGTCGCCTAAGACCATCAGAAAACACATATTTTCAATGGTTTTAGGAATAATTTTATTGTTGGGGGTCACCACAACATGAGGAACTGTATTAAAGGGTCGCAGCATTAGGAAGGTTGAGAGCCACTGCTCTAGAAATTGTGCAAAAGCATTGCATGCTTTTAAGAAGAGACTGGAGCCTCTACAGTCAC